GAAGAGCCTCAATGACAAATGCACAGTAGCTCAGCGGCTGAATCTTGCTCAATATTCCTATTTTATTTAATTTTTTTAAACATTACGGGAACTTGCTATTAAGCGAGTATCTGTAGACATAAAGCGCTGAGAGAGAAAACAAGGCGGGTGGTAGGGAGTGCTGAACCTAATGAAAACTCCGTATCCACAAAATAAGTTGTGGGTTTGTAAATTCACTCTAAGTACATTTGAGGAACAATAAACTATAAAAGAGGTTACCCTGACCTTGGATTCTGCACAGCTTTTGAGATAAAAGGTCCAAGTATCAGAATGCATTTGGTTGACCATAGTGTTGTTCACTGATTAAAAACCATCAGGCTCCTGGAACCTTCTGCTGGAATACTGATGAGAGGCTTGCCTGGATGCTGTATATGAGATGAGTTCTCTTGCAGCAGAGAAGCAAAGATGCTTTGCTAAAATGGACTGCTAAAAGGTAAGTCTTCGTAACCCTAGCTGAGAAGCAATAGTGAGGCGAAGCTACTGACATAAGGATTAAATTGCAATACATTGACTTTGCATTGAGTACTTCTTGGGTCCATGTCTTAAAAGCATGTTGAAGATGTTCCAAATTTGAATCATCGCTTAGGATAGCAACCCTTAAGATGTTCACTACTAGTGAGAGTCCCCACGGCCCCTTGGTGTATATGCCATTACATTTTACTGATTGTGTTAGAGGTAGAATACTTGCGCTTTGTTTTGATTGGATCATTTTTTCACAGGTTAAAAAAAAAAACTTTTAGTCTGAGTAATTCCTAGGACTGTCTTTAGAATAACAGACCTGGCTTCAAACTTGGTGGCAATTGCTTATTTGCTGTGTGATTGTGGACACATAGCTTCATCTCTTTTAGGTCCTAAAAAAAAGCAAGTAATGAGATAACCTATTTCAAGGGCTGGTCACAGAATAGAATGATGTTTATAAAGCATGTAAATATTGTGATACTTTTCTCACATAAAATAAATAAAAATGAGTAAGAATAATATAAGAAGGGAACCCATGAGCCCTTCTGATCTACCCTTGACTATTTACTAAGAGAACAAAGTAAATTTTTGATGTTAGTAGATAGATTGTAGTCTCTGACCAGGAGGTGTCTCCATCATACCCTGCCACTCACTCTTTTGGCAGAAAAAGCTATATGATGGAAGGGATAATGGCTATTCCATTGTGACAATCAGCTACATTTCCAGACTTATCACTCCCAGTTGAGAAACACTGATGGCTACAGACTTTACTACAACGTCTTCTTGTCAATGGGGGTCATGCCCTTTGCAAAAGATGGTTTCAATTACTGGTCATAAGGGAAACAATTTTGCTTTGTAGCACTTCCCTTACCATGATGGGGCTGCCATATCCCAGGTCCTCATGCAATGGAGCCACTCATTCTGGGCTGGCATGTTCAAAATTATGAGACACAATAAACCTCTTCTCCTTATAAGCAGGTTATCTCAGGTATTTGGTATAGTAAAGAAATCTATCAAAGCAAGTATGATTCTTTCTCTTCAGTTGGTGGAATAAGAGACAGTGATGTTAGCTAATGAAATCGGCCTTTCCACCATTTTCTGTCTACGTGTGTATCCTTGAAGAAGATTCTGAAGTGCCCTTATGCAATGTTTCCTATCTCTAAAGTTTCTCTGACTGGCTGTGTTTTCTTATTCTCTTGGAGAATAATAATAAAAAAACTGAAGTGACTTTTGCTCTATTAACTTTGATTGTCCCAGCATTGATAATTAATTTTGTAGGCCTATCAGTTAATGTATTTGGGATTATTTCATTAGCAAGTTAAATGGAACTTGGTTTCTTCATTGCTTTCTATATCTTGTTGGCTTTTAGAGAAGCAATGGTTTTATGAAAATCCACTGAGCCAAGCAAAGACAATGCAACTGTTTGGTTATATCATTGCGGGGACAGAGGTGGGGAAGGGAATCTCTGTTCTCCATTCTCTAGAAAAATTCTGTGTCCTCAAATCTCTTTTATTCTCATGTGCATCCTGAAGTCAGAATTCTCTGTGCTCTAAGAGGTCCCATTTTAATAAACAACAGCATCTTTCTCTGTACTCACATGCCTCATCATTGTGTAAAATATCTGAGCCTTCATATCTTCATATTCATAAATAATCAATAACCACATTTATGTTTGATCTGTCCTACCCCTGCTTCTGTATTTTCCCATCTATGTATGTTTTATTGTGTAAGAATTCAATTGAAACAGCCATTCATGTTTGCAAAAAGGATGATGTTTTATTATTGGTTATAAAGAGAAGAAATTTCACACTTTGTATAACCAAACCTTTCTGTTACAGCACAGTGACTTTTGAAAGTGAGGAACAAGTTAACACACCGTGGAAAGCAAGGCCACAGAAAGATCTTGGAGTTTTCTTATCACATTATAAAACAAGATGTGGTGATTTTTATGTATGTAATTGACAAGCATCAAATTCACATTTGAAATGCACTGTCTTTGCATTATTTCAGGGTTTAGAGAGTCAAAAGGATAAGGGCATGATGATCAAAATAGTTAACATTAACAGAGCATGCCTTGATCAATGACTACAGGTATCATGTTATTGAGAGAGGTTAGATCAACCAGGCCATTAGCAAAGCTACTTGGATAGAGGCTTAGTGACAGATGTGGAGAAACAGAAGGTCCAAATTTCTACTGTTTAGGAATCAGTCAGGTAGGATTTTTGTGTGTGTGTGATATGGTATTGGGGTTTGAACTCAGGGTCTGAGTATTGTCTTTGAACTTTTTAACTCAAGGTCAGTTCTCTACTACTTGAGCCACAGTTCAAATTCTGGCTCTTTGGTGGTTCAGTGGCGATGAGTCTCATGTACTTTCTCACCCAGAATTTTAGTTTTTAAACAGTTGGGCTGTTGAACCACTGTACATCCACTAACACAAAGAAATGAACGGTGTAGTCAGAAAATTAGAGCCCAAGCCCTGGCACTGTCATTAGCTCACTGTGTGGTCTTGGATCAGTCAGGTCATGAGCCTCCATTTCCTTTTAAGTGAAGATCAGTTTTAGGTTCCCTTTCCTGTTCTCCAAATCTGTTTCAACTTGGTAAAAAATTATCTGTAAGATATATGTGTAGAGTACAGACCTATATCAGAGCTTCTGAGAAATAAAGAGGATGAAAGGCTTCAAGAGACGAGTGTGCAAGGTCTTCTCATGCTCCATGGTTAAGGAATAACTTGACATTCAAACAGGAAGGGAGCAGGCATTACCCACAATGCACTGTACTCTCGGGAGGAAACCAAGAGCCACCTTGTAGAAGCAGCTTAAATTTAAAAAAAAATTTAAAACATTTCAAATTTGTGGACATTTATTTCAGGTTGAAAATTTGATCATTTATGACACAAATGAACAGATGTTGCTTTTGTCTCAAATTACATGAGACAGCAAAAACCACCAGATATTTTAGAATTCATTGCTGTTAGTCCTTTCCCAGATTATAAAAATTTCTTCTCAGCTAGTGATTTATGCCTGCAATCCTGACTACTTAAGAGTCTTTGATCTGAGGATCACAGTTCGAAGTCAGCCTTGACAGAAAACTATATGACATTTTTATCTCCAATTAACCAGCAAAGCTGGAAGTGAAGCTTTTTCTCAAATGGTAGAGCTCCAGCCTTGAGAGAAAAACCCACGTGAGAGCAAGGCTGTAAGTTCAAGCCCCATTATCAACACACACACACACACACACACACACACACACACACACACAAATCTGAATATACTGACTTAATGCCATAAGAATACATAAACACAAATGAACAAACAATGTATTTCCTTCCTGGCTATGGAGCTATACCTATAGAACCTAAAGATTCCAAAAGGACTTCAGCCTCGTTAGAGTTTTCTAAAAGTTGCTTGTTTAAATTCTTTAGACTTGAAAATTGCCTTTTAGTTTATATCCTATTGTTTTCAAATATTTTAGGCATACAGAAATGCTCAGTGTAGTTCCTACTTGCTTTAATTATGAGAAAAAAGAAAAATTACAAAGCACATGCTGTATTAGGGCTGAATAAGTATCTACATGTGTATTTATTTTGGGTGCTTATATGAATGGTCGGTTAGTAAAATGAATGGGTTCTCCTGTTGCTATTTGCACCTGACAAACAGAAATGAGGAAAATGAAGAATGGATTATCAAAGATCATTTGCTTGAAAGTTGTGCATTATTCCCACTTATGCTTATTAGAATAAAGGGGAGCATTCCTGTAAAAAAATGAGAATATATATAACCATTTATGACATAGTCATAGACATATATATATACATATATATTTATAGTAGGATGCAGAATTGTAGTCCTCTCTTGAAATATACCAGATTCAAAATTCACTGGAGAGGATTTAGAGACATCTGTTGTAATTACAGGAACATGGTTTCTAATTCATTTAATTCCCTTTCCTACCTAAACTGTACATATAAGTGAATTTTAAGAGACTGTATAAATAAATTTTTAATTACAAAATGATGTTATACAATACATTATTAATAATAACCAACAATGCATAATGTTTATGCATGAGTCCATTAGAAAGACAAGCTAATGTATGTCAATTCTAAAAGAAAGCACTAATTTGTCCTGAATTTGTGAATGAGGTTGAATTCACAATGCAAGCTGCTGAGTGCAAGCACGCAGAGCTGTTTTAGCATGCTATTTGGTAGTCAAGAAACATCTTGTACCTGTGGCATTTAAGAGGTATTTATGAATTGGTTCATCACGTGTGGTGATCAAGAATCGTACTTTTTTATTTTTTATTTTTTTAGCAAGCCATGCGGTGGTAAAATTTGGAATAAGACCACTGAGTTGACAATATGAGCTTTCCAAGACAGGTGCAGAATAAAATGGCCTAGAGCATCCAAGAAATGTGTGCAGGCCTTGCATTTGGGCCCATGGAAACCACGGTTGCATTGTAATAGAATTTCCCAGCGTGGCCAACAGGCCTGCTCTCACGTGGTGCCTTTGTCACACTAGCGGTAACAGATTTCTGAGATCTCCATGGCCAGCTCCAGGCACTCACTGGTCTCATGGCAGGATTCGAACAGGCTACAGTCCATATCACAGTTGCAGGTGCAGTCACTGCGAGGGTGGTTTTCATCCGAGGCGTGGTAGTACCAGTGTGAAGGGCAGCACAGGTTGGTACACACTGTTTCACAGGCATCGGGGAGCATCAGGAGACAGTCCCAAAACTGGCAAAACAGACAGGTGAGGATGAGCGAGGCACACACCTCTGCATAAAGAAAAAGAAGCCATTACAGTGTGGGCATCTGAGCCCCGGGGGAAGACATTTAAAGAGAGGAAATAGATTAGATTATTAGTAGTTAGTAGTTAGGACTCTGAATCATTGCTATGTTTTGCTTACCTGTACCTGATTAACACGCCCTACCCCAGAAATACATACAGTTAAAGTAATCATAGAAGCTAGTATGATGCGTGAGCAAGAATGTAACCCAGGGGACCACAGGGAAGGACAGGTCAGGATGGCTATGTACTTGATAACTTGATAGCTAACTTTTAAAGATGGATTTGCATCAAGGGTAATGTACACTCTTACTGTCTCCAGCTCTTCCCTCTCCACACCACTCCTCACTCTACTTAAGTAATTGCTTTATTAACTTCCTGAGCATTTCCTATTGATTCCACTAATCTGGTTATTTAAAGTGCTGTCACTTTTCTAAACCCCTTTATTTACTTTGCCTATGGAGGTGCTGGGAAGGCACATGATTAGCTACCTATCTGGAAACCTTACAGCTCTCTGAGTAACAGCAATGCCTTCCCAAATGCAGCAGCCTCAGGAGCAATTAGAGTTTTGGGGGGGAAAGGGGGTGGGGAAGAAGAGATTACAGATGTCCTGCTTCTTGCCACCAGGCTTTGTTATTTTGTTCATCACAGATTCCCATAAATGTACCACGCCCATATTCAAATGCAAGGGAAAAGCACATTTCCAAACTTAATATGCTTGCTTTTTAAAAATAATCCCAGTTTTTTGGGCTGTGTTTTATTTTTAATTCTTGCCTTCTCTTCCCCCCCCTCCAGTTATTCAAAGCTTTGATTTTTATATTCAAGTTGTTTAAGTGAAATACGTCATCACATGCCTAAGAGGTTTTAAATCTTATCAGTCTTCTTTAAGAAAATTGGTTTAAAAATTTACTATGCAGACTTGTAAAAATCTGGAAAGTATCTTTAAGGCATTGAAAGTAATTGGTAATTCTAGCCAAGCAGCTGGGATGGGTTATAGATTATTATACTTTTTTCTTCTATAAAGGGAATTAGTTAGAAGATGTAGCAGTTTTCTTGTTACAATTATAACTTATTTTCAGGTTTAAAAGCTTACAAAAAAGTGTGAGGTTTTTAAAAAAATAAAACAGTAGGTAAGTGTTCCTATAATATGTCATCTAATTCATTAAAATGAGCATTTTGAATATTGCTGATGTCTGAAACACAAATTGGAAGAAAAAGACAACCCCTCTAGATGGGCTTATCAATTGATTCAGATTTGATTTTCATAAGGATCTACTGTTTTCTAATAGAAAATGTTAATAACTTCTTGACTTTTAGAATTGCCCCCATTACTGGAGAGCCTGAGGGAGAAGGGTCACAAGTTCAAGGACAGCCCAGGCTACCTATGGAGACCTTGCCCCCCTACAAAAGAACAAATGCAGAAGCTTTCGTTCTATGCTATAGTGTGAGTGTTCATTTATCCTGAATCACTTATTTCCAGAAATATATTTTTATATTTGTATTCTTATGGTCAGTCATAGGGTTTGAACTCAGGGCCTAGGTGCTTTCATTCAGTTTTTGCGCTCAAGGGTAGCATTCCACCACTTTGAGCCACAGCACTACTTCTAGTTTTCTGGTGATTTATTGGAGATAAAAGTCTCATAGACTTCCTTGCCTGGGCTGGCTTTGAACCATGATTCTCCGATCTTAGCCTCCTGAATAGTTAGGATTACAGTTGTAAGGCACCAGCGCCTGGTCATAATTCTTTTTCTTTTATCATGCATATACTTAGTAATCTTTAAGAGAAGGGAAAACTTGGAAGGGTCTCTGAAAAGGAGCAAATATTTTAAAGAAAGTTGTTTCGATTGATTATAAAAATACTGAATTTCCAAAGTGATTCGTTAATGCAGGTAAGCAGCAATCTTCTTTCCTTTCCTCTGACTCTCCCTTTCTTTTTTCCCCAGTAGAATGGTAGGATGGTAGCACACACACACACACACACACACACACGACTTTTATGATAACTATAATCACTATATATTTTTGCAGGTGCTGTGGCCATTGCTCAGTATTTATCGTTTAGGCAGCATACCCTATAATACCTCTGTGGTATACATACTCATCGCTTTGCCAGACTGGGTGTATTTTTATTCACTTAATGACAGCTTCTAGCATATGGCCAACTCACTCATCTTATAAGTCACCACAGAACACCCACAAAAATTCAAGAGTAAGTTAGTACAGACTCTATTTCATGTAGGCTTTTCCAAAGAGAGCATGTTGGTGGTTAAAGATGTGGGGTATACAACTTCATCAAGTTTTACCAGTGTCAAGATTGCTTCTGTAGCAGCTCTTGGCAGAGAAGTTCTTCATAGGAAATATTCTAAGGGGTCACTCTTGGGCTGGAGGCTCATAAGACTTACTCAGGCTTATGGCCATATGAACATGACCCCAGTGGATCTTGTTCTTTATATATAGCAGGCTGAAAGTCTTGACAGGAGTAGGGTAGGCTACAAGATAGCAGTAGGAATAGCAGCTGCTGATATTACTGCAATAGATAGAACCTGTTTATAAAATGGCCTTATAATTTCCTGAGGGCATATCTCACCTTTTGGTTCAGTTGTAATTGCCAACATTTCCTACACTTGGCAGACTCTAGAGATCTCAGCCAGTTGTAGATTTCAGTTGTATAAGAGAAAATAAAGTTTTGGCGTAATTCTTTGGCCAAATTTGTATTTATTTGTTTCTGCCTCTCTATTTTTCACTTGAGAATAGAGCTCATTTTCTCCTGTTTCCAAGTTAGTCCTTTTTATTTGGTTATAAAAGGCAGAATATCTTGCCCCCCCCAAATCCATGGTAACATTAATGAATTGAAAACAGTTTTTTTTTTTTGGTCCAGTTGTGAGGCCTGAACTCTGGGCCTGGGTGCTGTCCCTCAGCTCTTCAGCTCAAGGCTAGCGTTCTACCACTTGAGCCACAGTGCCACTTCTGGTTTTTTTCTTTTTTGCTTATGTGGTGCTGAGGAATCAAACCCAGGGCCTCATGCATGCAAGGCAAGCGCTCTACCACTGAGCCACCTTCCCAGCCCCAGATTTTTTCCCCTGAACTTTTCAAGAGTGTTCCACACTTTTCCTAAAAGGTGTATATTAAATGCTACCCAAACAGGCATAACTCTTCTGCCTATGGCCAATCGTTTTGTTTTGTTTGCAGAAATGTAGCAGAAAGCAGTTAGGGGGCAGGAAGGATTTTTGCAATTGTTTACAAAGAGTCCTGAGCTTCCCCTTTCCTTGAGCAAGTTTATTTTCTCTTGTCTGTATTCCGGGACTATAACACTTCATCCACATGATACTCAGAGTTGTATCACATGATTAATGTTCCTCTGCTGTATCCAATCCCCAGCTTCCTCCCTTGTCTAGCCTGTAATATCTTTCAAGATCAGGTTGCATTCCGGGCCAGTCTCTCTTCATCCTGCCCCACACTTGTCCATTCTCACTTTTCTTAGCCATGGCTCCTCTACATTCAGATGCACTCACCAGCAAGTTGGGAGCCATGCTTTGCAATGTCCCTTTCCCTCCTCTTCCTCTGCCTAGCCAGTTCATCTTTGAGGCCTGCTGATCCTACTGCAAGCCCTGCTGAGCCATTTCCATGTGGCTTCCTCTTGAGGATGCTCTGTTGCTAATCCATCATCCTGTGATTACCTCCATTCTTAAATAAGAGTGAGGCCCCATCCCTTTAAGTCCCCAGTCCTTGCCTTAGCCCAATAAGCTCCTGCAGTCCATTCCAGGACTGTGATTTCTGGCCCTATTTTGCTTTTCATTCCTTGTGTTCCAGCCACTCTGGATGAATTTCAGTATTTGGAGCAAACCTAGCTCAGGACGTACACATAGGCTGGGTCTGCTGTTTGAAATGCACAACTCCCTCCTCCCCCACTCCAGTTGTTCCCCCCCTCCCATCTTCCCCAAATCCTATTCAAATCCTTAGGCCTTCTACTTCCAACATCTTCCCTCTAAATCACACCACTGCACCTGACTTTATTTCTAATTCATATCATTTATCACAGGGTAGCAATGACCTAGTTAATTTTTCTTCCAACTAGAATCTAAGTAACAGGAGGTAGCTGAAGTCGTATCTCTTACTGAATGAATGAATCAGTGAATGATTCTGAGTCATCCCGTTTTCTCAGATGAACGGATTAAGGCTGAGAGACTGGTTGTCTCTCTGTGTCCTATGCCCTCCTGGCTGTGAAGTGGTGAAGCTGGGATTTACCGCTAATCCTTTCATCCCCCTAAAGCCTACATTCCGTGTCTCCCTGTTGTATGCAACCTAAAACATACCTGCAGTCCTCAGCGCCATTTATGCGCATCGTACACCGGCCTAGAAATGATGGATAGCTCAGGATCCTTACACACTTTGCTCATAGATGAGGAAACAAAGTTTAAAAAGAGGAGTAACCCAGGACATGTGGCAAGAGGCAGAGCTACTCCATGGACCCAGCTTGTCATCAGGCTCTCTGGTCACATGCTTCTATTCCCTTCCTGCCACATGCTTTAGTTCAGGCGCTGCCAGTTTCCTAATGGCCTGCCTTCCCCTGTCCCTGCTCAGTGTTATAATCCCAAGACTGGCCAAGTCCATGTCCAGGGTCCCTTTGGGTCCCTTCTTTATTGATTTCTGTCTGGGTTCAGTCTCGGGTGACAGCCAGGGGCTCTTGGGAGTCTGAGAGGAAGGGAAACTTGGGGTCTTTCTCCTGCTTTCTCTCTGCTGTGAGTGGGGACTTGGGTCTTAGATTTGTGAATCTCTGGACAACCCTTCTTCTTGTGGCTCTCGCTCAAGCCATTCTCTTTAATGGTCATTTGCTAGTAAGCTAGGTACAGTCTTAGCCATCCTTAATGGTCTGGAGGGATACAGGAAAAACAGGTAGAGCCTTCCTGTGGTGGTTGGTTCTGCCACTGTGTTTGAGTATTCAGCTCTTCTCACACCTTTGTTAACAAGTTTCCCCATATAGGAAACACACTCTGTGGAGCCTCCTGTCATCACTGCCCATCTGGCTTTCCCACATTCCAAACCTGGAATAAAGGTGGGTGAGGTGGATCGGAGACCTACAAGCCATCCATCCCACAGTGGTGTTTAGCTGAGAGCAAGAAGCCATGACTTAAGATTGTTTCATTTCCTTTTTACCACCCTTTGGGTACCTTTCGGGCACTAGACCTATAATGTGCTCAGTGACAATTCCCTAGTGACACTGAAGAATGAATGCAGCTTCCAGAGGAGCTAAATGCCCCAATGGGGATTGAGTAATTAAGGGAGAGACTGTTTCATTAGAAAGGATCATGTTTAATTACAGGGGAAAAGACACCAATGGAAGGAAGTTCTACACATGGATATGAAGTCAGCCTGGTCATGGTGACACATTCCTTTTCCTTTGTCTTCTCAGTTTTATGTCTTGTCATGTGACACCCATGATTACAGAGAGGGATGAGAGGCATTTCTAGCTGCCAACTGTAGTTCCTAAAACATTTTTTTCCAACATCTAAAACACACCTTCTATTTCCTTGCACATCCTTACATGAAGTAGCAAAAATATGATTTCTGTAGGTATGACCCCAGATATAAAATAACTCCTCCTGTTTCTCTCCTAAAATAAGTTTATAACAACAACAATAATGGTAATAAAAATAGTAGTAATAATAATAATAATAAGCCAAATCAATTTGGTCCTACCCCATCTTCAAATGCATTCCTGTGCTTTCACAGGAAATTTGCCTTCATCTTGAGATTTGTGAACCAATAGGTCTGATGGATTATTGCATGATTTTGGCCCAACCTGAAGTTCTTAAGAAAAATACATCTGTAACATAGAATGGGAATAAATAAAGTGTAACTGAATGCTTTTCTCTAGTGGGGCTATCATCTCTGAAGTTATCAATTTTAATAGCTACTTAAATATGTCAAGATCTATTTGAGCTCAGACAAGCACAGCTAACATCTTAAGTCAGTTCTTTAGAAGTGGAATGACTGGATTTGGGTGATACACGGGAAATTTGTGCTTATGTTTTTTTTTCTGAGCAAATGAACTGAAATAATTATAAAATTGAAACATTTTATAAGGTGACACCACCACATTTAATTGTGTGAGATTTACAGGGTAGGAAAATGTAATCATTTTATTCAGTAGCCCATGGTATAATTAAGACTATTCTTTTGAGGTAGCTTGTATTTATGATTTTCCTCTTCCACCTGGATGACAGGTCTCAAATTCAGAGTTATATATCAATTAGGCATATTGTCAAGATTCTTCTTCTTTGTTTTTTTAGGAGTCCTGCTCTCTAATGTGATGTATATCCCTCGCTCTTTATTATCCTTAGAGATGCTTTTGCAATCAGAAGAATGTAGAAATAGAAGGAGGTGTGCAGCAAGTTCTTTGGACTTTTTCTATTTTATTGGAGAAAGGGGCCACACAGGATGAACCACAATTTAGTAATAAAGTAATGTTGTAGCACATGGCATGTGATGTTCAGTAAAGATCCTTTTAAATTCCCATCAGAGCACACACCATGAACTGTGCTAATGGATGCAACACATTTTACCAAATCTGCATGTGTGAGCCTTTTCCATCCTGTTTTAAGCGGGGCAATATATATAAATAATAGATATTAGCAATTAAGCATCCGTTTTTATGCATTCATTTATACATTTGAAAATAAATTAGCCACAAACTACATAAAAAGTGGATGCAATCTTTTCTTCTCCCTTCTGTTTTCCCTGCTGTTCCCAAAAGATATTTCTGTATTTATCTCAGTACGAACAATGACCCCAGTTCTCAATTTCTGCATCCTTAAATTAATTACTATCAAAAATCCTCTAAAATGAATTGAGTAGGACTTAACTCTTGATTTCCTTGGTGTTTGCTCTTTAGGATAACGAGTGGTGTTTCCTGGCACTGTGTGTGGGATTTTCTACTTTCTATTTATCTAGGTACCAAAAGCTCTCACATCATGGGGGAGGGGAGGTTTTTCAAAAGGGGGCCTTGGATGGGTGGGCCATGTCCAACACTTGCAGCTTAAAACTGGAACTTCCTGGAATAGACTGGCTTCATTAGAAAACAATATGAGATGCGCTCAGAACATCACTAAATAATTTTTCAAAGAAGAAAGATAAAGAAATCAACCTGATTGACCCATGCTTGCGACTCTCCTTTGCTCTACAGAACAAAGAGCCATCTGTTATTTTTCTGCATGAGGCAGTTGAGTTTCAGTGGCCATTTTAATGGAGCAGTCATTTGGAGTTCTTCTTTTGGAACCCAAGCGTTTAGATATGCTCCTTCATTTGCCCTTCTCACAGCATTATTGGTGGTATAGATGGAAGAGATGCTGGGGATATGTGTGTTTGCCTCTGTCTGATGGCAAATCCTAGGATCATGCTCCTCCAGCATGTGATCAGCGACACTGATGATTTTCCAGTACTTTCCATGAATGCTCTATTGTTAGGATGCCTCTGCAGAGAACTGCTACATTGCTTGTTTCCTTGACTTAGTGTTCATGGTTACTCAAAGCTAGAAATTTGAACATCATCTTACAGTGAGGCCCAAAGAAGCATTGTTGGGTATGTTTGGAGTTACCGAAAATAAGTAAGAATAGGTATCAACACTGGGAATTTTAGACACTTCACATAACAATCTCCGTGTGTGTGTGTGTGTGTGTGTGTGTGTGTGTGTGTGTGTGTGTGTGTGTGTGTGTGTGTGTGTGTGTGTGTGTGTGTGTGCACTTGAACTCATGGCCTGGGCACTGACTCAGCTTTTTCACTTGAGGATGGTGCCCTACCAAGTTCCACTTCCAGATTTGGGCTCGTAAATTGGAGATAAGAGTCTCAAGGACTTTCCTACCCAGGCTGGCTTTGAACTGCAGTCTTCAGCTCTAAGCCTTCTGAGTAGCTAAGATTACAGATGTGAACCACCTGCGTCTAGCTTACATGCTAATCTAAATCTTTAGTTATTCTTGAAAAACTTGAAGATTGGACAACTTTGAGAGTTGCTATGGAAACCATCATCTAAAGCTGGACGGAAGCAGTGACCTTTAGATGAGATGGGGGTTCTTCAGTTTGTCCCAGTCCACACCATTCCCTCTGTTATACTTCCAGTTTATGTTATTCTTTGCCTTCTCTCCTGGTGATGGCAGACAATCGAGTCTGGAGTTTCTAGTTTAGGGCACCCATGTCAACATTTGCTCACAGAGCCACATTTCACTTGTAAACATGTGTTACAAGTCTCTCTCCTTGCTGTCGAAAACTGTAAGTATAACAAAAGCTAACACTGAGTTTCTGCTCTGTGACAGATTTCCTACTAGATGCTCACATGCGTTATTTCATTTGGTCCTTGCAATGTCTCTTGGTGTGTTATTGTCCTACTAGGTAACTAAGAGATGGTTTAAAAAAATTGAAAACAAAACTTGTCCACTTTTATGCATTAATATGCATGCAAGGGTTAAACTAATATGATACCAAAGCCGATTTTATCCAAAGTTTAGCTATTTTTCCTCATGTTCAAAAATCAGTTATGAATATCAATGCCCAATCAGAAACAATACTCTATGACTACAATTGCCTTTGAGAAATGCTGAAAATTCTTTCAACTCACTTGTAGATACTGAAGGTTCCAAAACTCTTGGGTGACATATATCTCCTGCAAATGTCATTGCAAAGTCTTTCTCCTAAGTTGAATTCTATATGTTGTCCTGGACACCCTCTGATTTTGAATTTGATTGTAAGTTGTTCTAGTGTCAAACAGATCAGAATGGCCAGGAAGGGACTTTACCCAGAAGTGCCAGCCTTTCTGCAGATTGCTGAAGAAAGGATCACGATATGCTGTACAGATTGTATTAGCAATTTTTCAGTGTTCTCCCAATCTGTCTCTTTCTTCCTGTCTGCCTAGAAACCTAGGCTGAATAGCCCCATCGATGCAAAGGGAGGCTTTACTATTGTCTTCATCTGCCTCAGAGTCCCATACCCGAATGGGGTGAAACTCCACCCCAGCTATTTAAAACATATTGCCTCTGATTCCCAGCTTTGAGAGCAAACAATCTGCCAAGCACCTCATAATTGCAAAGTGACCTTGACACATGTCATTCAGTAGGGTTTTCAAATCTAAATCATCCTGTTTAATATTCATAAAGATTTTTTCCTAACAGCATATGTGATGCTTTTACAGGGGTTGGGGGTTTGGGAGCTTTATTTAGAGATGGGTTGAATTCTGAGAAACATACCATTCGTGTCTCTCTGATGAGCTGAAGTATCAGTTTGGAGATAGGAAAATCTTGTTTGGCATTCTTCAAGGGAGGACAGTGATGTGCTGGACTCTGACAGGTTTTTCTCTGTGGGGCTTTCCTTGGCTGGTCCATCTGTGATATTGAATTCGGATACTGAATTTATAACCATAGCATTAATAGGTTTCTCGTCTGCACGCTTTTCATTTGTGAGTTGCGTATCTAGATGAAAAAAATATAAAAGAAAACACACATGCACAAACCCACTATAGTTTTACCTAGGGATCTGAGAATAGACATTGGCAGTAAAATGCACACTGTAGACTCTGATAAGAATAAAATCATGAAAAAAGAATGAAGTATTCACTGAGCAGGATGCTTTTGAAAATTAGAGGAGGAATAGCAGAACATACTCATAAAATTTTGAACATGTTGCAAATTTTACCTATTATAATCATTTGGAATAGAAATCTCTGCTGTAGAATGAAGAAGAAAAAGACAAAGAATCCTTCAGTTGTCTTTACAAAATCTCATAGTATGTTGCTAATAATTCCTTCAGTTGCTAATAATTCCTTCATTTCATAGTATGTTATCAATGTACTTTCATCTTATGTTATGGTTCTGATAAACAAGAATGGTTTATTTTTGTCTGTTGTGGGGCTTGAACTCAGGGCCTAGGCACTGTCCCTGAGCCTCTTTGTGCTTAAGACTAGCATTCTACAACTTGAGTGGTTCATTGGAGAAGACAGTCTCATGGGGACTTTTTTGCCTGGGTTGGCTTTAAACTGCCATCCTCAGATCTCAGCCTCCTGAGTAGTTAGGATGATAGTGATGAGCCACCTGTTCCCGGCAGGAGCAAGTTTTTGAAATGCTAGATAGTTCTGCTGAATAATTCACCTTGCTTCAGTCCAATAACTGTCTGTATTCATTTGCTTGCTTTTAATTCTCAGTTTCCTCCTTTGAAACAAAAATGGAGATAGATAATGTACAACTTATTCCTGCATTCTTTCCTCAAAGATGATCAGTTGTTGCCTTTTCTCTGACTTGGCTTCTTTTTAAGCCTCCTGGGTCAGCTTACACATTCTATCTGGCTTTGGTACTGTTTTTCTCAAGAACCTATGCTTTATTCCATAGAACCAATTGACATACTTGTTAGAGATGTTTGAACGACTTCTGCAAGGTCCCTGATGAAGATTCTGGTTTAAAGAGGCATAGATTGAAGGCTGAGAACTACAGGCACTTCCTGTGTTCAGAGTTCCTGTGTTCATCCACTCATTGCATATAATTATCGAGGGGAGGTGTCTCACATAGCAGGCGTGGTGATGGATATTAGGGTGCAGTACAATTGGTTCTACCATTTTTCTTTTTTTTATTTCCCAAACAGCATGCATGGTCTGTTTTTCATGCTCACCAAACCAGCTAGCAAAAGCCAGATTGATTAGAGTACTGTAGGAGCATCTGAAAGAAAAGCATCTCAATACATCCTGTGCCAGAGAGCAAGTCTGAATGATGGCATCATTAATCTATCATTTAACTCATCTCATTAAGCAAAGCTCTGAAATTTACAAAGAAGAGAAAAAGTAAATATTATTAAACAAACAGCCAGGTTGAGTGCGAGAGAAATGTTGGGACCTAAACAAATGACTTGGCTTTCCTTTTGGGAGGTGGTAGAGAAGCATTCTGGGAAATCGCAAATTCATGGCTAGCCAGTGTCTGGCTTACTAGGTAGTGACTATTAAGTGTTACTATGAGTAACAGGATGGGAAACCTGGTTTACTTTTACCATGCTAATACACTGCAAGAAATGAATTCTTGCCAATTCCACCTTTTTATTTTTTATTTTTTGTCCATTCCAAAGTTGCTTCTTCATTAGGAGGAAATGGAAATCTCTGTTTGGGTCTGCTTGCTAGGGCAATTAAAAGTTTGGAATTTTAACCCATTCAAGTACCCTCCTTCATGGCAGATCCACTAAATCACAATCCCCAAGGAAGCTTTGAAATACCCCCAGGGGGAATCCAACATTGTCACAAATTTGGGAACTCCAGGGAACTTCTGCTTTTGAGAGTAGAAGAAAGACAGGCTATCCCATAGATTTGTGAACTAGTATTTCTCTGAAACCACTCATGAGATCTCTGTTTGAAGGTCACTTGCATTGGACCAAACATTGCCACCTGCAATTTGCTCTACCAGTTTTCTTTTTTATTTCCCAAACAACATTGTTTTCAAGCAATGTTTAGTTTTTATCCCCTCCCACACATGCTGCTAGCTTTAAATCTCTGGGTTCCAGTTTGATTCACCCTGAGATGAAATGGCAGAAATGGGGGCTTGGGAAAACATTATAGACATTAGCAAGTTTAGCAAGTAGTGTAACATTGAATATTGAAATAGAATTGGGAAACAATTCAGAAACTCCAGGTTTTCTCTAACCCAAGAGGGAGTCTACCAATTGTATTAATTATCTTATATATTATTAGCCACTCTCACAACCTGATGGATATTGAAAGAATGATTTAGACCACCTAGAGCAATGTTGTATATAGAACATATAGCACGCACACACACATACTGAGCTGCACGAATTTATAAAGTTCTGTATTACCATTTGTAAACCTTACTGAACTGAAGAATCTTAAAGACTTGAGGAAATAGATATTATTAGTGTCCTTGAACAGATGGGAAAAGTAAAAATTGTTATTATCTTCAATGAACAGATGAATGAGTATAATGAAGGCTTAGAGAATTCACTCAGGTTAGTTGTCTAAGGTCAATGTGTGAACAGGGATTCAAACTGAGGACTAGTGGATTTCCAAAGCTTTGCTCTTATCCTGGTCTCGCCTTTATTATACAACACATCTCTGAATTGTGCTTAGCTTTTATTTGGCTCTCTAAATGCTAAGACTTCCCCTCAGCAGAGTCCTCTATACCCTAAATTCTGAGCTACATTAGCATGCCAAATCCAACCTCATAAATAACAGTGCATCGGACCCACCTTTTCCTGCACAGGGCTTGTGAACCAGCTTCTTACATACCTATATGTTCAATTCCAGCTGCTTTGTAATATAGGTTGGAGAAAAGCACAAACAGAGCTAATAGTAGGCAAACCTCTGAGGAGCACAGAGCTTGCCACAGCCTTTATTTAACAGAATTAATTAACTATCAGTTCAAATTATCACACATAGTCAGGCTGCATGTAATTGAAATTGCTTTTGTACAAAATAATTTAGTCACAACAAAAAAAGTTGAGTACAGGTTACTGGAATGTAAGACGATGCTGAGAATATATTACATAGTCAAGTTATATACGTGTCTCTTTTTAGTTTTGCAGTAACTTCAAGTATGTCATTTTAAATGTAAGTGGTGTGCAACATTAAATAACCATTTGGGAGCACATGGAGCTTTTTACTGAGAGATGTTATGGAGGAGTCATGCTGCCATTCATAAAGTTATTTTAATTATATGTCTGTTTATATTTTTATATGTTGCTCATTAAAAAAATCATCTGACATACATACACACATTGGCCTGTTTAGTTCTGAATTCTGACATTTGAAGAGAATCATAATTTGAGGTGAATGTTACTGACATCTCTCCCTCCTTTTTTATTATTGTTTTTTATTGTTTTTATTTTTATTGTGAAAATACCATACAGAGGGGTTACAATTACATGGGCAAGGTACTGAGTACATTTCTTATCAAGCATTGTTGCCTCCTCCTTTGTTTCCCCTTCCCATCCCTGTCCTCCCATCCCCTCCCCCCCCCCGCCAAAATTGTAAAGATTGTTTGTCTACATAACATCCTATACATCTCATTGTTGCAACAATGGGTCCACTTGTATCCCTATTTAAACAATTTGTTTTTTCCTTCCCCTCCACAAATTGTACCAACATCAAATACAGTGAAAAAAGGGGTTATAACATGGGGGAGGGACAGGGACATACAAAGCCACAAAGAAATCATCTTATTATCCCTCCTTTTTAATAGATTAAAATGCTAACAATAATTCCCCATATCCTGTCCTCTACAGCATCCCTTGACCTTGTACCCGAAGTATTATAAAGTAAGCACAAGCTGGTAGGACACATATAAAAAGTGGTATCACATTTTCTGTAGAGAGAACTATTTTGGAATTAAATAAGGAACTCGTGAAACTATATTTGGGATGTTATACATAGTTCTTGACATTAACTTGAAGAAAATACGTTAGAAAAAAACAAAATTGAAACAAAAAATAGGAGCTCATTGATAGTTCTTTGAAAAAAATATTAAAGGGTATCTTCAAAGTCAGTGGAATAGAAAATTCATGTTTGGGTTAGGAGTAATTTCGAGAATTGGTAGGCATAAACTAAGGAACAGAAAGATAGACAGTTAATTAATTTTTTATTACTGTTGAGTAAATGTTATTAATTTAATTCAATTAACATTTATTGAGTACCCACATGGAATAAATGAATCAATGTGACAGGAGCTATTAATTTATTTACTTTAAGTTATTAAGGAAACATTTTAATGCTCTTCATTTTTGCTCACTAAACATGACTTGATAATTTTCCTATCCGTATATTCTCTCTTGTCATCTCTTCTGCCTTGGATCTTCTAATTATTATTATTATTATTATTTATGCTTTTCATTTTTTCTTTTCCTTCCAGCTCCTGTACCTCCTCTCTTCTTTTCCCTTCTTATTCTTTCCCTTCCTTTCCCCCTATTTTTCCCTTTTTAATTTCTACTCTTTTCCTTTTTAATATCTAATTCTTTGACAGACCTTCCTTGTTTCTTTTATTCAATTCCTCTTCCATCCTCCCTGTCTTCCATCCCCTCAAAGATCACATTTACCCATATTCAAACTCCATTAATTTTTGTGAAGTTGGTCTCTAAATCTCTATGCAGCTAGCCTTCCAGCCAGCTACCAACCAGGCCACATTTACTGAGCATCAACGCCATGCCTCACTCTGTACTAACAAACCACAGGGGGATTCTCAGAAAAATGACTAAGTTTTTTTTTTGGTTCTTAAGAAGCCCATTGTCAGCACAAAAACTGCTGTCACACTTGCTACTGGCTATTGGATATTTTCTTTCGGATACCAGCCAAATCCTTTCAATTTTCTGTCTCTTTCAACTAAGCTCTTATTTCTCTTCTCAAACTGGGTAGCTCTGGCTATTGCTTAGGATTGCAAAATTTGATTTCTTTTCATTCTATTGTCATTTTGTTTCCATTTATTAGGCT